GCTATTTGCATTACCTACCCTGGAAGCTGAACTGCCTTAGACCTCATAGGCAGCTGATACTGAAAAGTGTTCACAATGGCTTTCCAGAAGATCCTAAATTAGGGTTACCATGGAGGTTCTCCTGTCTCTTTTCATTGAGTGCAGTTAAATAGACTATTAATTTTGGCCCTCTGAGTTTCACCTAAATTAGATGTCTGAACACAGCCTGAGTATCCATCTTGGACTGTAACTGTGGCTTGACCCAGCTGTCACAACTCAGTTTATAAACCCAACACTGGTTAGGAAAGCAAAGCTGCTGAGGGTGCAAGAAAACTGTGTTCTGAATCTGTTGCCTAAGGCACCTGCTCATATTTTAAGTATCAGATATGCATGAGATGTGGAAAAGTCACAAGGAAGCATTTTGGTTTTGGATCCTTCTTAAAGAAAACAAGGAAACAAAAACTGTGCCTAAACAGGTAAAGAAAACAATATAAAAATACATTCTTTGTTAAACATGTATAACTAAAGAAACTAGTCCTACAGCTGCACAGATACTGTGATTTCTACTGATGTCATGCTAATTGAAAACAAAAAATCCTGGGCTAGAAATGACAAGAATTAGCCGCAATCCAAAATGCGAATTCTTATGTTAATTTTCCTTAGTTTTTCATCTTAATGAAACTTTCAGAAACTGGAATTGTGCCAACACTGTTTTGTTTTGTTTAAGATTCTTTAAGGGCTGACAGGAATATGTCACCTCTGTATAAATGGAGATTCAACATTTCTTTGTCTGTCACCTGACTCATGTGTTTGGGGGCAACTTAGAAATGCAGTTGCATTTTAAGTGATTTAAGTGGCCTTTTTTCCCTTCATGCTACCCAAATACTTCTTGGCTCACTCTGAGATCCCCCCTTCTTATCTCTCACTTTATTTCAATGGCCAAAGCGCATGAGGATATATAAAAAATGTCAATTCTCCAAGTTGTATTTTTGCTAGTGAAGAATAAAGTCATCTGTTGGTGAAGTGCCATCCTACCCCAGGGCTGTTCCTAGAGAGCCAGAGCTGCTGTTGAGCCAGAACAGTGCTTGTACAGCCAAAACACAGCGAAGGACAGGACTCACTTGTTTGTGCATGAGGTTGTGTAGCTGTGTGCACTGACACCTCAGGCATGTGGCAGATGGTCACTAAGGTGTCTGGAAGCCCAGGTTAGCAAATCTGAGAGTAAACAGTTCTTGAATACAAATTCAAAACCACAAAATCATAGATCAGAATTTGGTACAGAATCAGAACACAGGCTAAGAAACTGTTAGATAAAGAAAATCTTTGTGTCATTTCTGATGTGTGGGAGACTGTAAGAGGAAACTCCATAAGTCCTCAAGCTTCTTAACTGAGTTTCTTGCCAAGCAGCAGAACTCGCAGTATGCTGGTCCCTGAGAGATGGTGCCTAATATAAATGATTCCTCCTCATCTTCAGGGATCTGTTTTGCCAGTATTCAGGAATGTTGCAGCAAAAATACTAATAAACAAGAAACAAAAGGGGGGGATAAGAATACATATCAATAAAGTATCTGCTACTTTGATAATTTCACATTACTATTTAATGCCTCAGTATTACCTAAATCTCTTTTAATTCTCATCAAGGGGATAATAATTTTGGGTGCTATTGGCACTCTGCACTGGCAAAGGTAATACTGGCCTTTTTCTTCATGTGCCAGTTGCACTATCAGCATAGCAGGACCTACTGGTTGAGATTTGGCCTATCAAGTTTTGGTGTTTTGGTTTGTTTTCATTTCAGTGAATGGTGTGACCTTAATATAAATATCATCTTTAACATTCCTTTACCAAAACTGTAGCTAGACAGAAGGACTTTGACTAACAACTCTTACAGGAGCCCTAACATCTGTCCAAAGAAATCACGGAATATCTCAGGTTGGAGGGGATCCCTAAGGAGCATCAAGTCCAATTCCCTGCTTTTCACAGGACTACCTAAACCAGGTGACTATGAGGATCCTCCAGACACTCCCTGAACTCATGAGAGTTCATGAGTTCAGGGAGTGTCTGGAGGGAGAGCCTATTCCAGTGAATGATCACTCTTTTGTTGAAAAGCCTTTCCCTGATATTCAGTCTGAGGTTAGACTAACGCAGCTCTGTTCCATTTCCCCGTTCCATTTCCATGTCCTATCACTGCTCCCCAAAGAGGAGATCAGCAACTCCCCCTCCACTCCTCCAGTGGCCCCTGGGAGGAAGCTTTAGACTGTGGTGGAGTCACTCCTTATCCTTCTCCAAGCTGAGAAAGCCAAGGGACTTCAGCCACTGCTCGTGAGTCTTGCGCTCGAAACACTACCAGTGCCAAACCTGCTCCCATCTCAGTAAGATATCCTAAACCTCCATGTCTATAAAATTAATGGCATCCAGCACCACTCACCTATTCCATCTTCATGCCAACATCACTTCCATTATATCTACATTTTGGATAGCACTTGATAAACTGTTCTTAGTTACAGGAATAGTCACAGCAGACAAGCATTTTTGACAAACTTTTCCTTAGCCCTGTGCCCTGCACCCTCTGCACATCTAAGATGCTGTTTCTTTTCCATGTGACCTCATGGCATATTTTAGGGCATCAGTGCTCTGTGGTTTAATTAGTACAGCTGCTTCTCTTTCTCCCTGGGGCTGGGCTGAGGAGTGACCTGACATGACAGTGTGTCAGATCTGGGAAATTATTTCACACCCATTTCCTCCTTCATCAGTTATTGGCTGCCTGCTGCCCTCAGTCCTGATAATTATACAGGCAGTTCAGAAAGGTCTTGCTACTGAAGGTCTATGTAATCCTCATTTCTGGCTATTATGCCTGGATCTGCTTCTCCTAAGCACAGCTGCTGTGAAGGTAGAAACTCAACACAAGCCAGTCATCACTTTCTGCCTCTGTGGCCAATGGAGAGAGAAGGAGAGAATCTGATGCCCCCAGCGTGACTCATCTCATCCTAAACAAGATATCAAAAACAGGCAGGTATTAAGCAAGTAATGCCAGAAGTTAATTCATCTTTGGTATTAGTAGCAGATAGCTGTAATTTTTTTCTTGCCAGCTAATCTAGGTTCCATAAACCTGTCCTTTGAAGGTGAACCATTCTTTGCTAGACACATGCATCTTCTTCCTTTCATTGCTGTTTGCTCCTGGTAAAGCTTTGCTGTAAATACTTACCAAGGAAGGGACAGAGAGGATAGTCACAACTGGATGCTGATTGTGACATCTACAGATGTGGTGTCTGCTCTTTGCTGCTTGGGTATCAGAGAGGTGAGATTTGCGCAGAAATTGTGATGGGAATGTGGCAAGGGAAGAAGTACAAACTGTTCTAGACTCCCACACAGCATTATCTAACTTTGTGAGGAAGCTATGAAATCTATTGCTTTGTTATCTTTTATGCCATATTAAACCTCTATATAAAAAACTATAACATTTTAGGTATTATACAGTTGTGCACAGATATTTTATAGTAGTGGAAACTGTGAGAATGCAATGATGTGCTGGTTAGGAGGCACTGGCCCCATGCTCACTCTCAACATGGTGCCTGATATACCACTATGCCACCATGCCACTTAAACCTTCTAAAGCTGAAGCAAAGGCATGGAAGCAGAAAGCCCCACAGTTAGGGCACCATGGTGTTTTACTGCATTTTTTACAGGCACAAACTCTTCTCAGCATAACCAGATGAATCAGCCATCTGAGCCAATGTTGAGTAGTGATGAGTAAGGTGGTTCTGTTAATATTAAAATGATCAAGTTTTGTTTTGAAATTAAGTGGATATAGACAAGAAGAAATTGGAGAGGGGAAACAGCAAGCAATCTTGAGAAATTGTCTCAGAGAATAGGACCCTTTAGAGAAGTACATGTTGTACCTTTCTTGGTCTGTACAAAGGGCCTTTTCAAGGATTCGCTGAGTGTAATGGAGTACATTTCTAACAAGTGCCAAAGACAGACACAGTCTCATGCTCAGCTGTGGGAGGAGGTGTTTTGCTGCCATCCCACCACAGGGCTGGAAGTGATGTGCTCCAGGGCATGGGGCAGCCTCACCCGCCCCCATAGTCCAGTTCCCACCCCGAGACTTGCCTGACATGCAACAGCAATGTCAGCATCAGCAGAAGAGGAACTTGCTGGGGTATTAGTAATTTAACACACCAGAAACCTGGGTCTGTTCCTCCAGCAACCCACTTGCAGATGCAATGCAACAAATGGAGTTTCTATCTTCACAGTTCCCACAACTGCTCTCGGCCCGAAATACATTTGCTTGCTTTTTTGGAGGTTTTGTCTCATGACAGTACTGCAGTGCTTTTCTTTCACCTCCTATCTAGAAATAAGTACACACATTTTGCTGTGCAAACTGCCAGCCACTCTTCAGTAAATTTCCAAGTCAAAAGTGCTTAAGTTTTGCCCAGTCACCACTGCCTGTGCTGATGCTGCCCCTGAAGGGTCAGGTAGAGATCAATCCTCTACTCTCCCACCTCCACCCACCCCTCTCATGGCTGCAGAGGTGTGGAACCCCTGCTCCCCTCTGCAGAGCCTCCGTGAGCCCTTGCAGGCACCACTGTCAGGTGGGCATTCTGTCCTCATTTGTACCCTGCTCATGAAGAAAAAAGGCAGCTAACATTAGGTGGTATCCAGGGATAGGGTGGAAGTCTGACTGGATGGTGCAGCCACTGCACAGCAGCTGAGGGGACCTGCTCATGGTCTCAGCACATTTAGTGCACTGGTTATATCAGAGCTGGAGCCTGTCCAGGCAGGTGGGAGCCAGCTCCATCCCGGGAGCCGTGCACTGGGCACAGCTGCTCCCACTGCTCCTGAGCCTGGCAGTGACAGTGGCACCTTGGCACGGCACTGCACCTGCAGCCCTGTGGGAAAGGAAAAGCACAGCACTCTCCAGCTTGCTCTCCCGCTGTGTGAGCTGCTTGCACCAGCTCCACCGAAGGGCGCGGGAGGATGCTGCTGACCACCTTAGAGAAAAGCAACAGAATTCTGCACACAAATTCTGTAAAGAAAATGTTTTATTTAAAGTGTTAAATACCATCACCAGAATGAGTTTGATTTACATTAGTTGGTGTTCATTACAGGCCTAATCTGCCCTTTTTTTTCCCCAACTGTAATTCCTTTTAACTTTTTAAAACGTACTATTTACAAGACAGCAGTGATCACTGGAATAGTACTATTTACATGACTAAACCATAAGTAGAATTGCAGACGTGTGAAAATTAAAAAAAATACATTAATTTTTTTTAAATAAATACTGCATAATGACAATTATGTACAAACCTTCCATGCGTCATGTCCTTGATTTTAAAATTTGAAATAATTTATAGAGGACTATGCATACAAGAATGTGTGAGCACATCTCACAGTGTCAGGAAAATGGTTATGTATTTCTGTTTAATATCCTAGGGGATATTGTAGACTGCATGTTAGTAGCATTTATTTGCTGCTGGTAGACAGGTGTCTAAATTATTTCAATAAATATAATTTTACCAGTCTGTCTATTAACTTAACAATAATCCATTATATAAACTCTGCAGACAAGACACAATCTCATTTTCTATGATATTGCACAAAGTAAAAGGCATTATAAGTGATACTGTTATTACTTTTTTCCTCTTATGAGGCATGTACAATTTGTTAATGGGAAACTTCAACAGATTTTCAAATAAAATCAGAATAATTCTGTGTGGCCATAAAGGTAAATGTAACATACTTCAAAAATTATTGCAAGATTTCAATATTAAACCTTAAGTAGGTATTAAAGGCATACAAAGACCCAGGAAAAAGAAAAAAAGAAAAGGATATTTTGTTATTAAACATTAGCCAGTTACATTCCCTTTAAATAACGAAACTTAATGAGAAGCTTGAACTTGCAGCACCACCCAATGGTAGTTACTGTCTGCTACAAAAACCAGGGTTCCAAAGATCCATTAACTGCAGCGAGGTTCTGGCAATGGTGTCAAAGAGCTGACAGAGTGGTACTGAGAAGTTTTCTTTAAGGCTATTTTACCAACCAAAGACTGATACTTTCCAGACTGATATTATCTAATTATGTCTTTTGCAATGCAAATGTAATTTATGAAAATTGAACTTTACAGCAGAAGAACTGTATGGATTTGTAACCTTTGTTGCTTCTGTTATTTCAAAAATGTAGCAATCAATTTGGTTTAGTGCAAATAAAAGTGCTTAAATTTGTTTCCTAAAAATCAATCACGTACTTAATTTTTCCTCTTTCCAAAAACCTTCAAGAAATAATAGTTCAGTCTTTGAATGAAAGATGCTGGTGCTGAACACAAATTTATTGAAGACATCTTACAATGGCCACATGATTCCAGTATTTTGCTGTAGAATTCAATTTGAAGGTGAGAAAAAACGAAAATAAGTTACCATGCACTGTACAATAAATTGCAAAAGTTCAAATATCTTCTTTATCAAATACATGCTGAATTACATTAATGTACTCCCAAGCCATGTTGCAAAATCCTTTTCAACATGCTTGAAAAAAAGTAAGCTCTTAAACAATATTTTTCTCAAATAATTCAGAAATGCAGAACAATCTGCAACCCTGAACCAAATATGGGGCATAAGACAGTAATAAGTCAAAAGGTAGCCATTTTAGAATATGCTGATCATCCTGGGAGGTAGAGGGGGAAAAGAGCAAAAGGAAGAAGGGAGATTGGGAGGAGAGATAGAGAAAGAAGGAGGTAAAAGAAGTGTACAATTTGCACATTATGTTGAACTTTACAAGGCTTGTACCTTTTACATTTAAATAAATTTAATATATTACACTTATTTCTTGTCACATAAACAGAATTTTAAATATTTGCTAGAAATTATTTTTTATTTTTAATATAAGTCTGCAAAAACACAGACCATGACTGGTTTAAAGAATGATAAACGTGGTATGTCTTTGTATCACCCTGTTGCATTCTCTTCCCTTTAAAACCATGCACTAGTGAAATTTATCTTTAAAAATAATATAAACTGTTGAAAATGGCTGATTTATTCTTTTTTTTTTGTTTTGCAAGTTGCAGCCCCAAGAAAATAATTTAAGTGTTCAGCTAAATCTGTGTCCATGCAAAAAAGTTTCTTAATTTCATACAGTACAGTATATCCACAGAACTTTATTTTTCAGAGAGTCCATCATGTCTGGGGTTTCACCGTGTGAACAGCTGGAGGTATGAAGCCCACCACTTTAAGTCTTGAACCTTTTCAATATGAGGAGTTTTCAGATCTCAAGCAACTGCTGCAAGTGCCAGTTGACTTTTCCATCATCCTTAGATTCTTCTTTTCTTCCAATGTCTGCTAATCCACTGACTTGTAACGTGGCTCCATGGGAGGGTAACTCCGTTTCTGTGGCATAACCAAACTTTAGGAGGGGAGGGCAGATAAATAAAGAAAAGGGAGCAACAAAACAGATATGCCATTGAAAAGGACTTTTGTTGCATGAAACAGATTGATTTTTTTTTAGTTAAGTCCATGGCTTCAGATTGGACCAAAACTGAGTCCCTGAACTCCAAACCTATCAGTTCTTCATGATTTCAGTCCATCACCTGAGGGCCTTCCGTAGGGCACAATGTGTGCAACTTCCTTGAGAACACAGGATCGCGTTGCAGCCCTAGAAACAGGCTCAGAAGACACAACATTAAGCATGCAGTGTTACCAGGGTTTGCGACCTGTAATTTTATTTTTTTGTAACGCTGGTTGCTATGACAACAGTTTCACAGCTGCTATGAGCGAGCATACGAAGGTCCTGTTGAACTTTCAAGAGATGATTGGGAAGCTCTTCTAGTGAGAGGAGCTAAGGTTGGGTCTACTAGGGAAGAAGGAGGGAAAAGTTTGAACCACCCAATCACCATGTTGGACAGGTCCAGTTCATCTAAAAGTATCTGTGCCACTCCCATGAAGGATTTGTGATCCATACGTCCATAGTCTCCCCAAACAATTATCTGTTAGGTAAAGAAACACAAGAAAGTAGAAAAAAATTAGTGAAAATGTCAAAAGCTTTAATCTGATTTGTCAAAAATCTCTGGTTGTTTAATTACAGTAAGGAATGAAATATTCAACTGCTGCCATAGTTTAGTTCTGTGTATCCTAATCATGATGCAGTGACAGAAATGATCTGGGCACAAACAACAATTATCCATGATAGCAGGGAAAGCCCAGTGAGAGGAGCCCATACATACAGCAGAAGCAAAATAATCTATAACTCACTTTTGCTCCCTTCTACTTGCATACTCAATTTCTACTGGCATAAATAGCTATTACTGTAGTGTTTATTTGCTCAGCAAGTATGTAAAATATGAGCATTTACTTCCAAATGAAACCTGAAAGAAGTTTGAAACTCAGTGAAAACTGTACAGGTGACATTTTCAGGTTCAGAGGAACATTTATGCAAATTACCTGTAAAACTTTCCCTTGGGGACTTTCTTCAAACGATAGAAGTTGCTGATAAAGTGGTTCCAGCGTTTTTCTTGCTACCTTTGTTTTCTTTTTGGCTATGCAGACTCCATTTTCTAATAGATACACCTTTACATATGGTGCTTAGAAGAATGAAAATAGAAAACAGAAGGTAAAGAAGAAGTCCAGGTTTTTTTTGCATAACACACACACTTTCTATCACCATATAAAAATCTGCTTTTAAAGGATATATAACTTATAAGAAGAAATATCCACAAGCAATATTAACAATTATTCCCATACAAAGCATCCATGCATTTTCTTTACTGTTCTCCTTGGGTGTATTTTTTTCTTGACTTCTTTTTGTATGTCTCTTTTACCATGGAACAATTCAGATTTTGACCTGAACAAATCAAGTATTCCTATATATAGCATCCCTATACTGTACAATATGCAAAATAGGCCTATTAAGTAAATGCAAGACTTGCAATGACTTTGGTGAAATCTGGATCAACACTCCAAATTGTTAATAATTTTAAATTATCTACAAGGTGAAAATCAGTGAAGAAAGGACTCTGACACAATTTCTATTTTGGCAGAAGAGCTTGCTAAAAATATCATTATATTGTCCTTTTTACATAGCGTTACAGGACATCAGATTATAAAATAAGGAGTAAGTATCAAACTTTGGTCTACTTTTTGAATAGATACCTATTCCACATCTCTTAATTCCCTCTTCATTCCTGAGACTTCTATATAAAATCTTCAGTATATACTTTTCTTCCTACCCCATAACTAAGGATGCCTTTGCTATTACCAAAAATACTTTGAGGTCTTCTGGCAGCCTGATTTTTCATTTCCTCCTCAAGTAGGGCCAATTTCTGATTTCAATACAATATGCATTTCAGTACACAACATTATAACCTACTGGGACTTGAACTTGTTAAGAGTTGGCAAAGCTGAACAGAAAAGCCAGACTTTTTTGGTAGAATGCCATTCTCAGAATCATAGAATATGCTGAATTGAAAGGGACCCATTATGATCATCAAGTCCAAGCCCTGGCCCTGTGCTAAGATTGTTACTAAGGTTTTTCTTCCTTACCTGGCAGTGTCTTTGAACCTGGTTTTACAACAAGGCCACGGGCTCGGATTATTTCTACTTCCAGTTGTCCTTTCTTATCCATCATTCCCACCTGAATATCTCCTAGATAACAAAAAGAAACCCCAGCATTGTAATTCAGAACTACTTTAATATGTGAAATGTTGAAAAAATTTCTAGGATGAATACGTGGTGACTTTTATCACCTGTTTTCCATCAATAAGTATGATCTGGATTTTAACACTACTATGTAATTTAAGGTTTACCCTCTTCACTGCTATTTATGTTAGTAAACAATTTAAAAACCTCTGCAATAACACCTTCTCTCCCATCTTCCATAGCCTCTATTACTTCAAAATAATTTCTACTTCCTAAGAGTTTCAAATTAAAAAAAAGGCAGCAAGGGAATTAATACAAAGCAGCTCCGTAAAACTGCTAGAAATCTCTTCACCATCGCTCTAGTTAAAGACAAATTATGAAAAGATAACTTGTGAATATACAAGCCTCTAAACACAGTAATAACAAACATTTTGCACCTCAATTACCAATTTTTGTACAATATTATCCAAATGATTCAGAGAAAACTTTGGTCTCATTAGTCCCATTTTAAAGATGGAAAACTGAAGAAGAGGTAAAAGGCTGAACTTTTCAAAGCAACTTTCTACTTTTGCATGTCTTCATAAGCACCCATGATTACATTCAACTTTGGCTGAGGTTACAGCTTTGGTCTTAACTGAGTTGTTCAAAACCACAAGAGAAATCCATATTTAAAGGGACTCTAGATAAATTTTATGTTCTAACTACCTGACCAAATAGAATATATCCTATCTAGAGGGCATAAACACTTACCCATTGATGGCGTTGCCAATGTCTGTCGTCCTACAAGCTGGGCAGGACCAAGTCCATCCAGAAAATCACTGAATTGGCTGTCTGCAGCCAACCTCACACCAGGGAAGATCAAACTAGAAATAATATTGAAAAAGAAACCAAACAAAAATACACTTAAATTTGCCCTTTGTTTGTGTTTTTATTTACTTGTTTGGTTTTTTGTTTTGTTTTGGCTTGGGTTTGTTTTTTGTGTTCTAGGTGTTTTGCACTTAATGTTTGTGGGTTTGGTAGTACTGTAAGGAACTTACAAAACAATTACTGTAATTTTTGAAATCCCACAGTGTTCAACAAGCAGCAATTTAGCCTCCAGCACATAAAGAAACAGGTAAAGAAAGCACTCCCCTCAATAATTTCCAAATTTGTATTCTTCCATAATGTTCTCCTTTTCTAATGCATTAAAGACCATTCTTAATTAGTGCTGATATGAGACCAGTTCATTAAGATACTAACACACACCCTTACCAGTGATTTAGTTACATGAACGTTACATTGCTCACACTTCTCAGTTACTGTGAATTCAATGGTTAAATAGCAAATGTACACAGTGAAATGATGACATTACACCAAATACTGGTTGCTATTTTCAAAATTGCCATTCATTCAAAAGATTTTGTTGAAAATGTCTTTGAGAATGACGTCTATTCAATAATAGAACTGAAATCCCTTGTGGCAAAGGACCAAAGTAACTTAAAATTAAAATGCTTGCCATAAATTATCTGTTACTCATTACAGAGCAACAAGAACTAATGACATTTGTAATGACCAATCTTTAAGAAATGTCCATTTCAAATGCATATAGTGCACCAACTTGGAAGCACAATATATAATGTGCAGCACAGATGAACACCACTAATAAATCAACCCTCAATAACACTTCTCTAGGCAATGTCTCAGATACATCACTCAGAAGTTTTAACTTGGGCTTTTATGATGCCATGATAACCATGATACATGACAGACTTGTACTGCTGCCCAGGTAATTTCTTCAGGTTAAGAGCAGCAGAATCTTTGAAAAACTCTTGTCTAGTTTCCTGGAAATGCTCTGGAAATGCTTTGCTCTGCATACTACTGACATATGCCAGGAGTTTTTGGAAGAGAACTTATCCGTATCTGTGTTTTACTTGGTGTACTGCACCTGCTTGCCCTCCTGACACACCTCATGATGATGATCTGCCCCCCGATGTGCCCTTCTCATGGCACAGCAGAAATGATCCTCCTCCTTCCTGCACCAACACTGGGAGATCTTTTCACTCACAGGGGAAGACTTAGGCTTAGTCCATCAATGACACTGGTTTGTGGAGGGAGTTCTGACTGAACAGGACCTACAGCACTCACTGTGCTTCTCTCTAACAACTAGCTTCATGGAGAAATGTCAGGAAACCACAGTGTAAATGTTGCTTACTTTCCCTCGGAGCTGTAGCTGTTCATGCTCCCATCCGTTGACTCCCGGCTCGCCTGGCGAGTCATCCAGTTCCTCATCTCCACGGCCAGCCCTGTCTCTGTGCTCCTCTGGACGGTGCTGCGCAGCTTCTTGCCCCCTGCTTCTGTTGGAGACACAAGAGAAGCCCCCATGCCACTGTGCTGCTGCAGCTGGGCAGCCGTGCACACCCCTGCACCACGTGGCACCGACAAATTAATGACCTGTAACAAAGCTTCCATTTAAAATGCATCAGATTTTTAGTAACAGGAAAACGGCAGCATAAATATCCTTACAGGATCTTGGTTCTGTCACCACGTGCTTTCCAAAGTCAGACAACACAAGTCTGCCCACAGAGGTAACCAGATTCAAACAATCCATAGTCTAGGGCATTTAAAATATATTTTCCCTGCATGAATAAATCCCTCTTAGGAATTAAATTAAAATGTTACCATGATGTCAAAACCTGAAGAGAAATGTTTTAATTCAGATGCGTTATTGATTTAAAAGCATTTGGTCATTATCTCCTAAATCAAGTTACAAATATCCATCAGTGAGGATAGTAAACTAAAAATCAAGAAACCTTCCTATGCCTTCTTCTCTATTCATTAGCTGATAAATTTTAATTTATATTTAAAATATACAGTATTTATATGCACAATAAGAAACTTTATTACCACCTTCAAGAATAACATTTTTCTATCTAGTTGCATAGTTTAATTTTACTTAGACAAGGGAAAAAATACTCAAACAATATAATAGCATTGTTTAGTGTAGGAATTTTGATCAAGACCTCAATTGGATAAAATGAGTAGGAATGAAGCCTCAGTTTTTCTTTCATGAATAAGACAGATGTTCCATGTAATTTCTGATTTTAAACGCTGTTTCCTGCACTGGGATAAGTAATTCTGCATACCTATTTCTTTTAATATGCTCTATGCACCTCTGAGTGCAGCACAGTTATGTGTAATATACTGGTATTAAAGAAAAAAAGTTTAAAACACTACAATAATAACAATTCTTAAATACTGATACAATGAGGGCAGAGTAATATCCAATATCTTAGGACATCAATGGACTCAACTTCCTTGTGCAATTATTTGTAGCATCTGTTACCCTTTATACCTTCTCTGCCTTGTCATGTGCTAGAAGAACTTCTGGACCTGTGAGGATGGTGAAGCATTACGGATTTGAAAAAGGAAATGAGCAAAAGGAGGAGATTGTCCTGGGATGAGGACTATCATGTGTGAGCACAGGAACTGGCTTAGAGTAAGAGGATCTGCACCTTTGGCCAGGGAACGGGAGACAGACCTCAATTTCCATGACTGCACTCACTGTCCTAAGGGCTGCAGCGTGGGTTGAAGTCTCCCAGGCCCCTCAGTCAGGAGGAATATTAGGTCAATAAAGAACATGGGAAATGTAGTGATGTGGGAACTAGACACCAAAAATACCTTGAAAACCACTGCCTCCTTGTCAAGGAAGATTAATAACTCTGCAATATAGCAGCAGTGAGACATTTCTACAGCAGGATCACGAGTGGTTCAAATAATATTGCTTATTAAAAGCCTTCCACATATTCCCTAAGACCATCACTTTGAATCAGTACATACAAATAGTAACAATAATAGAAGTAAAAGTTTTCCTCACGAATTTCAGCTACACAAACGAATTCAGTACACAGGAGAATGAAAAATAAATTTTATTGCATCAAAATTACTTCAAAAAATGCCCATCATCTTACATCATGTTACCTGATGTAAGAAATGCAAATAAAAGAGGCACCAGGCTACTACAACACACAAAAATGAAGGTCAGAAAT